CACTCTCATGGCCTTCAGGAAAGCTGTAAATACTTGGCTGTTCCTGCAGGCCTGGGGCTGTTGACCTCCCTGTTGAGGTCCAGCCCCGATTAGAACGAATGTATGAGGTGTTGCTATTTTAAACCGTTTTCTTTTGTTATGTGTTCGTTATGTGTCTTTTTTTTTTCTCTTTATTTTTGTAAGCCGCCCGGAGTCCTTCGGGATTGGGTGGCATATAAATGTGGTAAATTAAATTAAATTAATTAAATTAACATACATAAAATATCTCAGTTTCCTGAAATTATAAATTAATGCATTAGCCAAGGAATCAGGCTTGGAATCTGATATTATTTTTTGAAGGTCTATGATAGATAGCTTCAGGTCTTTATTTTTCCAACAATATTGTTCGAAAGAATCACTCTTCTTTTCCTGAAAATGATCCTTCTGAATAGTTCTTTGGCTCCTGTTGAATAACTATTTCTGGGCCATCTCAACATTTCTTTTTTTGCAATACCTATTAGAAACTCTCTGAATTTTTGCCAGCTTTTTCTGGTTTTCCGAAACTTCTTGCAATTATTGATAAGGGTTTAAAATATAATTAGCCCAGTACAGACCTGGTTTTGTTGATTTTTTTAGCCATGGATAAATTATCACAAGCCGTAATGGAGGGACGGCTATTTGTTGATCTGTTCCTCTTTTCTTCTGTTGTTAAATTTAGTGTTGAGTTAGCATGGAATGCACAATCAACCTTAGATTCCACAGTCTCAGTCATGATGCTATAGTTATTCTCATAGCAATCTTAAAGTATTTTCAGATCATCTGTCAAGGTAAATAGTCTTTCAATTTCGCATTTACTTCTAGTGAATCAATGCTATTTCACTGATACTAGTTTCTAGATGATGTGCCTATAACCTGCAGCTTCAGGATATAAGTGCTATCCAAGCAAAATTAAATACCATAGAGAAAGCAAACACTACCTTATTTTGCTGAAACATAAAAGTTTAAAAGAGAAGCTATACGTTTTATAGTGAAGAAGACATATTTTTAGAGCAGACTCCAGACTTAACTGATTTACCATATTAAACTAAACCTATAATCAGGACATCAGAAGAGCTGTGCTTAGCCAGACCAGCCAAGACAGACTAGTTCCATGGTGGCAAACCTATGGAACGCATGCCAGAGGTGGCATGCAGAGCCCTCTCTGTGGGTACCCACGATGGCCAGCTGTTATCTTCCGGGTTCCTACATGCACATGTGCATACCAGGAGCGGGAAAAGAGCAGCTGGCCAGTGCACATACGTGCGACTGAACCCAGAAGAACAGCTGGCCACCACTTAAGTCCACTTAAAGCTGGTTTAGACAGTGCTGGCATTGTTATCACTAGAAGAATTTCTGGTTAACAAATTAACTTTATAAAGTTGAATTCTGCCCCTTACAAGAAGCATTAAATACTCTAGTGCTGTAAGTTCTTTTTGTGTGAACAAAGTCTTGCTCATAGAGCATTCTCGTCTTCAAAAATAAATTATTTAATAAAAGGAGGGTGTTTTTTTTTAGCTGTTTCTTGGTATTTCAATATTTTTCAGTTTTAAAAAATTGTTCTTGAGTAGCGAGAAAGTCCCCAGGTTCCGATTCCAGTTTCTTCCTTAGTTTCATCTCTTCATAGCATTGGATAGATATAAAATAAATAATCCATGTTAAAACCTCCTCCCTCCTTCCCAAATAAAGAATTCAGTAGAAAGAATATCATGCAGGATGCACTGAGTTTTCTTAAACCTGGGTGAAAGATCTATCCTTTGTCTCTAATAGGTTGTTTTGTATGCTTAAATTGTCAAAAGCCAATGTAAAAAATGATAAATCTCTTAATATTAATTGTAGCCCTGTAGGCTGATAAGAAAGCCAGTGGCTTTTTAATTTATAACCCGCATTTAAGTCTAAACCTCTTCTACTTGAGAGTTCATAAACAACATCTTTCAGTGCCGAAATCATTCCCTTATTCTTGACATGTTTTAGAGAAGCAAAAGTTTGGACCAGAGTTCACCATAATCACTTGACAGATTTCTTTGAGAGCAGCCAAGTCTTACTGCATGCTGCATGCTTTTCTATATTTGGCTTTGTTTAATTTGACGATAGAATGCCATGCTGTTGAGAATTGTGGCTGCTGCTCCTCTCTTCTAACCATGTTACCCAAGCCAAGATTATTCCCTTTTTTGTTTTTAAAGAATGACAGGGATATTTATGACTCTAATGTAGGCTGAATCTGAACTTAACTGTATCGTTCTTTCTTTCTTTCTGTCCAGTTGAGCTTTTCAAAAAATTAGAGATTATGAGTTAACAATATAGTAGTTCTGTATGTTTTCTGGGTTGCCTAGGTCTACCTAATATCTAAAGAAACGTCCTGTATTTTGTGGGGAGAGGAAGAGAATAATAAAAAAAATAATTGTAGTCAATTTTCTTCTATTCTTTGTGTAGTTTAGCCCTGATAAGGTGGCATGCATTATTAATTGCACCCTTTGCATGCATTTTTTGCCATTGTGCTTTGAACAGCGAAACTTAATTTAATCATGAATCAGAAGTCCTATAACACTTATCCAAAATGTTGCCTTTACTTGCATGATACTCAAAGATTAATTTCAAATATCCTACTTACGCCAGCACATAAGATCAGTTATCTGGGAGGTAGGAATGGCATTGAATTCTCTGGTCCTGTATTTATGGAATCCTGTTCTATCTGAATTATACTGATTATATTCAGAATTTCTAGTGGATCTTTCTTTTTCAGAAAGCATTATATATAATTGGGCTTTGAGCTTTATTTATTGGAACATTTGTATCCAGTGGGAAAGAAGAGAACCATTTCTGCAGCAATGCCTCAATTCTGAAATATTATTTAGTTGGAAGAACAATTGCTATTGGGACACATCAGGGAATTATTAATAGTAGCTGGGGATGCAATGCAGATGTTGGAACATTTAACTTACACAATTTGGACTCAGCTTAATTTGTGCTGAAGTTATCCAAATTGTTAAAAACTTGTTAAGCATATTAATGCACATATCCTCCTTGGCTATATCCCTCGCATATGGAATTATCAAAATACCGAAAGTTTTTTTCCCCACTGAAAATATGGTTAAGTAACATGGAAGGAAAAATTTAGCTTGACTTGAGGGGATTTTTATCTTTACTTCTTGGCCGTCCCTAGTGGTGTCTCAGATACTATAGTAGTCAGATTTGACCCTGTTTAGTTTTCGAGTTTTGTCAAGATTGTGCAGTTTCTGCCAGTTAATTAGATTTTCAGACGTTGAATGATCCTTACTTCACTCTTGTCTTTTGCAAGAATAACTTGGCTGGGTGAATAAATGCATGAAATAAAAATTATTGGTGTTTTATAAAAAATAAACAAAATAGATTTTGTCAAAGCACTGTGAATTTAGTTACTCGCTATTTCTCTTTAATTCCTAACTCTGTATCTTTGTGCTCCTCCTAGATGTCAAGAAAGATTGGTCCGACCATGCCTTATGGTGGGAAAAGAAGAAAACCTGGCTCCTTAAAACACACTGGACTTTAGATAAGTATGGCATACAGGCTGATGCAAAGTTACAGTTCACTCCTCAACACAAATTGCTCCGACTCCAGCTTCCCAACATGAAGTATGTAAAAGTGAAAGTGAACTTTTCTGACAGAGTCTTTAAAGCAGTATCTGACATCTGCAAAACTTTCAGTAAGTATCTATGACTTATGGAACCAATTATTAACTTTTTCAAGTGACAAGCATCCAGCTTTAATAGCTTTGTATTATCTAATTTTTTGTCCTGCAAGTATACATTATAGGTAGCCTTTGAACTATGACCGGCCAATTAATGACCATTCATACTTAAGATGAACTTTAAAATGCTATTTACAATTGCCCCCTGCAGTCACATCATCACGTTTCAGGTATTTGGCAAGTGGTTCGCATTTACAACCAGTAGCAGCATCCCATAGTCACATGACAATGATTTGCAACTTTTTTCAGAAAAATATGGCCAATGGATATACTGGAGTCACTTAACAACCATTTGGTTCACTTAATGATCATGGTAACTTGCTTTATGACCAAAGTAAACAATGATTGTAAAATCAGGTTACATGATGACCAGTTTAACAACCATAACAACTGTCTTGCTGGATTCATTCTTGAAGCTAAGCTGTAATGAGTTTTGCTTTGTTTTAGCTTAGCATGTTGTGAGAATTCATCCTTGTGTTCTTAAAATCAGAGCTGGATTTATGATATGTATGGAAGCTGCAATTTCAGTTTTTTTAAATCGCATTTGGACATGCTTCAGTGTTTTCTGTTTTCCTTTTGTTTTAGTTTAGCCCTTGTTGTCAACGCAGAACCTGTACCAATTAGATAAAACAAACTTTAGAAGTTTTCTTTCAACAAGACTTACTTTGGCTCAGAAGGGTTTAGTTTTTCATAGTGCCAGTGAATCAAGACATTAACTAATATATACCTCTACCTTCAGTGCTTGGAAATTCAAAGAATTAAAAAGAACTAATCTTCATTTATCAAACAGGATTTTTTTTTAAAGTGATGAAGGAATCTACTTAATTAACCTACTAAAATCTGTAAAAGAAATATAAATATAGTAGCAGCAGCCTTTTAGATGTAGTCCATAGATTCTTGTTAAAACTGAAAAATTAAGTTTAATTGTTCTTTTTTAAAATTTTTGCAAATCTTATACTTGCTTATTTTTTCCTGACTTTTTTTTGTGTTAAGAGGCAAATGAAAGTGGATGACTTTAGCAGTGTTTCTCAGCAATTTTAAGATCTGTGGACTTCAATATCCAGAATGCTCCAGTCAGCATTCTAGGAGTTGACCTCTACATATTTTAAAGTTGATACGGCTGAGAAACAATGAACTCTATGGTATTAATAGCTATGCTTGCAATCCTCCGTTAAAATTATTGCTCATTCTCATTCTGGATGCAAATTGAATTCAAAACAGAATTACATTTCATTAAATATTGCTGATTTTGTATATTGAATGTGTAATTTGAAAGTATATAATAAAACATGTACAGTCAAAACTATTCAGATATTGAGATGATCCTCTGCCATTCTTCTTTGCAAATTGTGGCAGAAAGGAATTTTTAATAATAATGACATATCTGAAGAATTTATTTTGCCTTTTAATCTATGTTTAGGTTTAGATTAGGGCTGTCAATCTCACAGCCTGCGGGCTGGATGTGTCACCCGCTGGCCACACCCATGCCCAGTCTAGCAAAGGGGAAAAATTGTGCTACATCACATGATGCTGCTGTGACGATGTGAGTTTGATACCCCTGATTTAGATTGTTCTCCAACAGCCCTCATTTGATGACAATTCAGATAGTGATTATTCAAAGTTATGACAGTGCTGAACAAATTATAGTTAAGACCAGTCCTGAAAGTTATGGCTGTTGCAGCAGCCCTAGGGTCATGTGGTCAAAATTCAGGTGCTTGGCAGCCCACCTACATTTACAACTGCAGTGTGCATGTCAACTCCCCCCCCCCACCTATCTCCCCTCCCTTCTCTGCCCTTCACTCCTGCCATCCCCAGCTAACTCAGTTTCCTCCTGCTGCTGAGATGACACACTGGCCTTGGTGATGTGTGATTATCTCTATCCCCCACACCCCATCTTTGCCCCTTTGGCCACCCTGCAATTTGCCACTGCTTCTCTGCCATCTTGGGCCAAAAAGATATAAAACTAGTTCAAGTATTAATTAATTCAATCTGTCGATGATCATTTTTTTAATGAAACGTAACAGTGCAAAAGCCATAAATATTGATAGCAAATATAACATATGAAAATATACAAAGGAAGTCTTATGATTGGATGAGAAAACTATAGGAGCTTCACAGATTATTCTGTCTTTGAGATATGCCCGGGATGGTGAACCTATGGCAGGTGTGCCACAGGTGGCACGCGGAGCCATTTTTCAGGGCACGCAAGGTATTGCCCTGTCACCTGGCCAGCATGCATGCGCCTGCTGGCCACCTGTCTTCAGCCTTCTTTTGAGGCCATTTTTCACCCTCCCCAGGCTCCAGAGGCTTTATAGGAGCCTGGGGATGGTGAAAACAGCCTCCCCCCCCCCCCCGGAGTCCCTCTGGAGGGTTCAGGAGCTTCCCTAAAACCTCTGGAGCACTGGTTTGCTCGTAGGGCCGTTTTTAGTCCTCTGGAGCCTTCAGGGGCCTCTGAGGGCAAAAAACGACCCTACGAGCCAACCGGAAGTCCATTCCCGAACTTCCAGTTTACCAGTAGGGCTGGTTTTTTGCACTCCAGAAGCTTTAGGGAAGCTCCTGAAGCCTCCAGAGCACTGAAGTGAAGTGAAACCGGAAGTCCCGGTTTGTCTGTAGGGCCGTTTTTTATCCTCCTGAGCCTTTAGAGATGCCTCCTGAAGGTCCCTGAAGGCTCCGGAGGACTAAAACCGTCCCTACAAGCAAACCGAAAATCACTTCCGGTTTGTCCGTAGAGCCATTTTTTGTCCTCCAGAGCCTTCAGCCTCCTGAAGGTCCCTGAAGGCTCCAGAGGACTAAAACTGGCCCTACAAGCAAACCGGAAGTCCATTCCCGAACTTCTGGTTTACCCGTAGGGCTGGGTTTTTTGCGCTCTGGAGGAGCACGACTCCCTGTGCTCCCCCCGCTTTTGGCATGCGAGCCATAAAAGGTTCACCATCACTGAGATATGCTATCATCCAAGCTTGGTGATATGCCATTCGCTTGGTGAAAATAAACTGGATTTGTTACCTATATAAGGAAGACTTTCTCTGAATATAATTCTATAGAGCTCCTTCATTCCCTTAATTTTCAAAGGTTGCCCAGATAGGTTCTGATCAGTGAAAAATCAATTGTAAATATATACAATATGTACTCATAAAGATTTGGGACACAGATTTTTTTTTGTCTTCAGTAAATAACAAATGGTATAAAATGTTAGTTATTGAGAGTATGGTACTGATAACCACAAAGCCATTCACAAATTCTGTTTAACCTGGCATGTTATACTTCATATATTTCATGTTTATTGCTGGAATGAAAATAAGAGAAAACTGTGCTATGATGTAAATGATTAGATAAAACCCAGGAAAACGTTGCCAAAGGCAAGTTTTAAGCTGTCAACTAGGATTTTCAGATTCACAGTTCAGCTTTTGGCTATTGTGTGCGTTCTATTCTTGAGGCATTTTGGCTCATCCTAATAAACATACCGTCTGCTTGTGGAGTTTGTCTTTTTCCTCCTGGACTATTGCTGACATCTTTCCTTTTTCTACATTATAATAGTTCTCATGTAAGGTTTGCAATTGTTTCTCCAGCTGTGATTTTCCCCACCCCCAGCTTGGCATTCTTATTGTGTCTGGGCTTTCTGCTGTAATTTAGAAATAGAAGCCTTGAAATTCTAGCTAGCAGTTCACTACTGGGGGTAAATCTTTCAGCACTGTATCAGCCTTTCCCAATACACTGGAAAAAAATACTATTGGCCTTGTCCACCTTCTATTCTCTTTCCACAGAGTAGGAGAAAAACAGAACATTTTTCAGTCCAGCATGTACCTTAAATAAAATTGAATTTGTCAATTAAATAGTAAATTAACAAGTAGTTACAGTTTAATGAATTACCAAACATTTTTGTTCTGAGCAGTTAAGCAGATGAATAGAGAATGGCTTTCTGTTTTTAACAAGACAGGCTGCAAGTAACCATTGGGATCAAATGAGAAGGACATACCTTTTATATTGGTGAGAGATGTACCTTTCAAGTTTGTTTGTTGTTGTGGAGTCGTGTCCGATCCATCACGATCCCATGGACCATGTTCCTCCAGGCCCTCCTGTCTTCAACCATTCTCTGGAGTCCATTGGAGGCCTACTGCTTCAGTGACTCCATCCAGCCACCTCATTCTCTGTCGTCCCCTTCTTCTTTTGCCCT